ATAGAAAAGAGTTTTTATCCTTTAAAAGTGTTTAGTTGTAATCTACTTTTATTCTCATTATTTTTAGTTTTTTTTCCACTAAAGGCTGATATGAAGTTCTTTATTTTCAGTTTCTCAACAAGGCTGCAAAGAAATTAGCATCTTTTACACTAAAGTCTTGAACCGTCTGGGTCTTTAACTCTACGCTCACTGGTCAATTCATTAGTTACAGCTTCTTTCGAGAGGAAAAACCCAACAATTAAATGACCCCAATATAAGCAAGAACCTGGCGACTGTGGGAAGGAAAAACTCTGTTTTAACAGAAGAGAAACTTCCAGCAGAACCAGGCTTGGGGAAACGCGGCCATCTGCTGCGACCAGTAGGGGTGACGAGAGTAAGACAGGACAAGAGACACACTGTGGAAGAGATTAATAATGACTAATGATTAAATGCAGAGAGGTGTATAAAGAAAATATCCTCCAAACCATTACACCAGCAGCAACCTGAACTACTGATATAAGGCAGGATGGATCCATGCTTTCATGTTGTTTGTACCAAATTCTGACCCTACCAACTGAAACTTGGAGAAGAAATCCTGATTCAGATCTGCAAAACTTCTATTGTCCAGTTTTGGTGAGCCTGTGTGAATTATAGCCTCAGTTTCCTGTTGTTAGCTGACAGGCGTGGCGCTGTGTGGTCTTCTGCTGCTGTTGAGATGCTCTTCTGCACACATTGGTTGTAATGAGTAGTTTCTTGAGTTACTGTAGCCTTCCTATCACATGGAAACCATCATTTTCATCTGACCTCTGATGTCACCGGGACATTTTCTCTTTTTCAAACTATTTCTTTTTGTAAAGCCTGGAGAAGGTTGTGTGGGACAATCCTAACAGATCAGCAGTTTCTGAAATACGCAGACCAGCCCATCTGGCACTTGTCTAAAGTCACTTAACAATGATTCAGTTTGACGCTGAGGTGTCTTAAACTTGCAACTCTTGTCACAGGAAGTAGTCTGACTGTGTAGAAATCCATGTGAAAATGAGCCTCCAATTATGGCCTCAGTAAACTCTTTGCTGATGAATCTATGGTCTCAGTCTCTTGTTTGAAGACTTATTTAGTACAGCATGAGGTTTATTTCATAAGCCTAGAGTCAAAAAGAAGGATGACGCTTCAGGGCGTCACTTGTGACGTTTAGGTTTAATTAAACAAGGTGTTGACAAAGAAATCTGTACCTCATCCATCTTTTATTGTGCAGAAATGATCAGTAACTGTACACAGAACATTCAGACTTTGACTTTCATGCTTTCAATGAGTTAAATGAGCAAGATTGTGCCAAAGATCAGCAGCAGGCGATGTAGGTGTAAAAGCTGTTAGCAAAATAAAGAGCAGTGAATCGGCGCTTTATGATCATGTCACAATGATTTCTTCCTAAAGCACAAATCAACCCTCGTACACCCCTGCGCTGCCCTGCCAGAAGGTGCTGTGCGGATGCAGCCAATCAGCAAGGTTTAACCGTTCCTCTGTGGCCACAGAGAAGAGAGTCAGACAAGTGCTGTGGTTATTTTCATAATCCTTTTGGCGCTTTACACTTTAACAGAAGGAAGAAAAACAGCTGCCTGAAGGAGGGGAGAAGACTTCCTGGGAATGAAAGTTACTTCCTAAACAGAAGAAAGGGCTTTTGGGCAGATCATTCCATTTCCATCACTCATTAGTTGTCTATGAAATGGGTAAAATTGAAATGGAATGAAAACTGTTTCTCCTCTTCTGGTTAGAATACGGCTGAACGTTTCCTCGTTCTCGAGAGCTTTGGTTGGATTTTTAGGCCCCATGTCAGTGTTGATGTAGGGCTTAAATCTGACTGTGGAGGGCCAGGATGGGCAATGGAGAAAGATGTTTGCCTTAAAATCCCGTTCCAACCCTGATTTGTGTTCAGTAAGATTTTTCTATAAGACTGAGGAAAACTTTTGTTGTTTTAGGATCTTTATGGCAAAATCCTGAAAATCGAGAAGCACCAAGATCGTCTGAGGGCCAAAGGACTTTTCTCCCAGGATGCCGAGCTGATGTAAGAGGAGGAAGAG